ATCATAATATTTGATTCAATATTTGTTATTATTGCCAGTATTTTTGTCAATTTTTTTTTGTTTGCTGCTACTGCTACTGCCTGGCTTCTAATGTTCAATTCACATCCCCCAATCAAACGATTATTGTCTAATCAGAATTTTTCGATATATTTTTTTTTTGGCTTTGTTTTGACATTTTTTTTTAATCGAAAAATTTCATTCACTTTCATCATGCTTCATTCATCATTTTCTAACAAAATCAATGAAGGTTTTTTGTTTCCCGCAAATAAATGTTGTCAATGAGGATGATGAGGGGGTGAAAAGGAGGTGTGTTTGTGCCAATATCATCCAATATGAACAGATATTTTTAAAAAGCAAAAAAAAAATTCGATAATCAAAATGATTAGCTGAAAATATTAATAAAAAAAAACTACTGAATTTCAATAATGATGATGTTGATGATGATGAATACAAACAATCATCAAAAATTTTGATTAAAAAATCATCACTAAGGGGAAAAAAAATATCATTGATCAAAGATAACTGGTTAATAATTTTCAATAATGATAATGAAGAAAAATTATAACCAAGTTTGATTGATCAAAAAATTTTTGCTGGGTATTTTTTTTGTTTCCATTGATATTTTATTCTGTAGTCCGAAATAATGTTGTTGACCGACATTGAACCTATGTCTACAAATGATTACTGTAAAATTACAATTAATCAATCAATTAATGTAAAGGTATTCAATGTATCTTTGAATATATTTTTGGATATGTAAATTTTGTTTTTCATTTTCATTTTTTTCGTTTTTGGATCATATCATCATAGTGAAATTGTGAATCATCAATAAAAACCGAACCAAAACAAAAAAAAAATGAATTGCAATCGAAAGCAATAATAATAATGATTTTTTTTAGATCGATATCAATATGAATAATTATCAAAAATAGAAGAAGAAAAAAAAGCACAAACAAACAAACAAACAAACATCACCTATTATAAATATACACCCGCAATGATCGTACGTTACGAAAATGTTTGCATGATTTTAGCCACGAATATCATCATTCATTGATTATCATTATCATCATCGTTTATATTTTTTGTCAATAAACTAAAAAACATACGTAAACAACGTGTGTGTGTGTGTTGATGTTGATGTTAAATTCGTACGATCGCAATCGGATCGGAAAAAAATATGTTAATGGATCATAGGTTTTCAAAAAAAATGTCATCTACATATATAGATAGAATAGAGCAAAATATTCATGGTCATAGATGACGTATCAATTGAAAAAAAAGAGAAGTTTTAATAACATTGAATATTAACATCCGATTGGATGTTTAAAATGACAAGTAGCAATGAGAAAATGAAGAAAAAAATAAAGATTATCAAACGATCGATTGATCATCATGTTGTTGTTGATCGATCAATCGATCGATCGATAAATTCATTCGATTTGTATTTGTCAATCATCCGATTGATTATTTATCATTTTATCATAGATAGGAAAAAAAATTTCACTTTTTAAATGGTTGCAATCCTTGTGTTTTAGAAATAAAAATAAATAAACAAAATAACCGAAAAAAAGAATCCAAAGTTTAAAAATGGAATTTGTAATGGAATTTATTCATTGAAACAAACAAACAAACAAAAAAAAAATATTGAATTAACAAGCAAAAAAAAAACAAACAATAAAAACGAGGTACATTCATGTTTTTTTTCTCTTCAGTTTCTATCATCATCATCATCATAATTATTAGTTTTTTTTCTTTCAAAAAAATTTACTAATCACATCAATGATGCCGATGATGATTTTTCTGTTTTCTTTCATTCGATCATTATCTTCGAGTGTGTGTGATACTTTTTTTTCATTCATATTGACAAAAAAAAGAAGAAGAAACCAAAAAAATCAGGCGTCAATGATCTGATCATTGAATCGAGAGAAACTTAACTTAAATCAAATGAAATGAATGAATATGAAATGTACGTGCATAACACACATACACGTCAATATATATATGACACGTTGTTTGACAAACAAACAAACGAAATATGAATTAAATGAAAATGAAAAACAAAAAAAAATATGATGACATTTTTTTTTGTTAAATATTTGCATATCTATCCCCATCCATTCCCCCAACTATAACTTTTGATTATCACGATGATGATGATGATTATCATCAATTTAATGCCCTTATTACGTACAAAATTATTCGAAGAAAAAGCAAAAAAATTTGATCAATCAACGCATTAGTCATGTTTGTTACCACAAAACAAAATCTATACGGAATGGATTTTCTAAGAATTTTTTCTTCTTCTTCTTCTTCAAACCATTCATAAAAATATTAATAGATTTTAAAACATCTACAATGACTCATAATGATAATATCGAGGCTTACAAACAAACAAAAAAATCAACTTTTCTGCATTAAAGATTTTTAGTTCCGCTTAGAATCAGGATTGACAAACAAAAGAAAATAAAAGAAATCCGATTTGAATATCTGCGATGTTTCTCAGTTAACAAAGGTCAAAGACTTTTTTATTGAATTCACACACACACAAAAACTTAATGCATTCAAACATATTTTTAACAAAATTCTACTGAATTTGTCAAAATTGAAGAATATTCAATGAATTTTTTTTTTGTTTCTAATTTGATTGTCATTATCATTATGAACGTAAATGTACTTCTAAAAAATTGATCAATCAATCAATCAATCAATCAATCATTTATCGTTTGTATTATCTCATATTAATGACTTAATAAATTATCATCAATAAATGAATGAATAAATGAATGATGAAAATGATAATTTTTTTTTTCATTTTCATTTGAAAATCTTAAGCATATACTGTGTGTGTATGTATGTTTTATATGTGTGCGTGTTTTGTATGTAAGCAGAATAAATGGATGCCAAAATAAATGAAGAAAATGTTGAAATGGGAGAAACAGAACAAGAAAGATGGAGAAAATTCTTAATTCTGTCACATAATTTTTTATAATTTCGAAATTGAATTGATGAGCCAACAAACAAACAAACAAACAACTAAGAACATTATCCTCATCTAGACACAAACACACACACACACATTTCCATTGAATTCTGAAAATAACCTTACTAAATTCAATTTTACTGTAATAATTACAACAAGTACAACGTTTTTTTTTGTTTTGTTCATCATCATTATCATTATCATTATCGTTGTTTGTAAGAATCATTATTCGTTAATATTTTCAATCAATTTAACAATCAAAATCATTTATTAATGTTCATTCATTTGATCATCATCAACAACAAAAAACATCATCGAAAAATTGAATAAGAAAAACCGAACAAAAAATATTGGTGACAATCGACGAGTAATAGCTAAACAACATCAATTATCGATTATTAATCATCAATATTTTTTCAAAGGTAAATTTTCTTTTGTTTTTTATTTATCGTTCAATAGAAAACTTATTAGGAAATTATTGGATTTTCCCATTGATTAATTGATTTGATTCAATCAAAAAGCAAAAAAACAAAACAAAAATTGATTTTTAAAAAAACCAAATCGGTCAGTTTTAACTGGATTTTTTCGGTCGTTGTTGTTGTTGTTGTTACCCGTTTGTTTATTAAAGAAATTCAACAACAACAACAACAAAATAGATGAATCCATCGCAAGTTCAATTTCATAACAAGTTCGCACTGGTTTTTCCCTTTATATTTTTATCATTTTTTTCTCATTCAGAATTCATTGTATGGTCGTGTGTGTTTATATAATTTGCTTTGAAAATTTCAAGTTCCGTAATTCAATGTAAATAAATAAATAAAAATCAATGATTATTGTCATAGTAAAATGCGATAGGAAAAAACGCATCCTGTTTGAATGATTGAAAGAAAAAATTGCATTCTGAATCAAAACAAATGAAAATGAAAAAGGAAGAGAAAAAAAACAAAAAACCTTGTTGCTAATAATTTTTGAAAATAAAATCTGTTTCAATTTTGCTAAACAAAACAAAAAGAAAAAAAATCGAAATTGAATTCGTTTTCGGATTCGTTTTTGAATTGTAAAAACATTTACATTTGCTTTTCACATTTATCAGTGTTGTTGTTGTTGTTGTTGTTTGATTTTTGATTTTTGATTTTCGATGGATGCTTATCGATTTTTTTCTTTCTTTCTTTTTCTTTTTTTGGTTTTTTGTTTTTCTTTGATAATCAGCATTATTATTTATGGCCTTTGCCATATATTTGATTAATGTTTCCAACATCATCCTCATCATCATCATCATTTTAAAAAAAGAATAGTATTTTGACAATTTGTAAATAATATATATTAGGCAGCCGAAAAAAAACCCAAAGAAATAAAAAATAAACGAAAGATTTACAGTAAATATTGAATGAAATTTTTTCTAATCACATCAAGTCCCTCTCTCTCTCTCTCTCTCTCTCTCTCTCTCTCTCTCTCTCTTTAACTCAAT